TAGGCATAATGTGTAGTATATAAAGTTCTGTAGTGTCCCACATCCACCACACTGTCTTCTATATATATGTTAATTGTGTAATTGTACACTGTGTAATATGTTAAGATGAAAATGTTCTAGAGGTTGTATATTTGCACTGGGTAAGGAAATTATATAATACACACTCTAGAACATTTTCATCTTAATATATATATATATATATATATATATATATATATATATATATATATATATATATATATATATATATATATATATATATATATATATATATATATATATATATGTTAGTTGTGTTATTGTACACTCTGTATTTCATAATTTCCAGTCTTAAATCCGTCTGACCGTGTAGCTCAGTATAGGCAGAGCGTCGATCTAGTAATTCGAAGGTCGCGGGTTCGAGACCCAGCCGCGGCAGACAACATCTTTCTGCTTGCGCTGGGTATGGAAATTATATAATACACACTCTAGAACATTTTCATCTTAATATATTAATACACACTCTAGAACATTTTCATCTTAATATATATATATATATATATATATATGTATATGTATATATATATATATATATATATATATATATATATATATATATATATATATATATATATATATATATATATATATATATATATATATATATATATATATATATATATATATATATAATTATATATATAACAATCAATTTAAAAATCAGAGACTATGCAACTTCGACCATCAATTTATTAAAAAAACTAAAACATACTAAAATAAAAGCTTCATCAGTTTCCGAAAAGTTTTTAACAAGACAAGTATCGAGTTTGGAATCATGTATGAGTAGAGTGCTCAATACCGTAGTAGAGCTGATAAGATTACATTAGATTAGAAGACAAACTTGAATTACTTCATATGAACTTTATTTCACTACAAATTTGTTTCGTATGACAAGACGAGTCTTGCCACACTCATCAGGTGAATTTAAATCCAAATTTCAAAATTATCAATTTTTAAATTATTTAAAGTGTCCCTATGATACAAAATATACGGAAATTCGAAAACAGAATCGAAATTGCTCTTTTAGTGTAAAAGTTATTGCCGTTTAAACATTGAATTTGGCCTTGTGAAAAATCTGAAAACCGCGCAAAAGAGACTGGGACGAAACAATGCGTGTGACGTAATAGTAGGAACTTATCTAGCTCACTGATGTAGAAATACTATTGCATGTACTATCATAGAGGAGGCAATTGCGCAAATATCAGTCACGAAAATAAAAAATTGCCGAATATATGTGTAGTAGGCGGTTGTTCTAATGTCACAGATACAGAGAAAGGCATTTCACTTCATTTTATACCTTTTACTGGAGACGAGATGCACGAAGCGAAAAGGAGACGGGTTGACTTCGTGCACCTTAATTAATTAAACGAGCAATATGAGATCCAAGGTGCAATTTTTATTCCAAATTCGTTATTGTAAAAACAAGCTGCAAATTGTAAAAGAAGCTGTTTCAATGCAGTCAGTCGACATGGCCATAGTCACGAAACTCGAAAGCGCGATAAATATATAAATGAGCCACAGTCAATGGATTTACCAGAAAATATATAAAATAGGCCTACTTTGGGGGCCAAGGTCGCCGTTATTATGTGCGACATTGTGCGACATTAGGCAACATTGGCAATTTTCAAAGAAAAGTAGTGTGCGTCGCTGGGCGAAACTGGGCGACATTGAGCGACATTGGGCAAAACTGAACAGTAATATCCAGATAACGTCAAATATTATAATTCACAAATTATGCATCTACATAGAAAATACAACAGTAAATATCAAAATATAATTTAGTTATCAAAACTTGCTTCCTGTGGCAAAGAACACAATTAGTTTATTACAAATAGCAAAAATAACAAGGAACATTTATCTAATTGCTAGCCTGACAATTTACTCAAAGTTTATACCGTAGTACACATACATGCCCAGTACATGGTACATTTACAGTATCATGGAACTCTGACTTCTTATTAAATTGACTGGTGTAAACACCTCATAGAGTTTTAAAACCTGTCTATGGACTGTGGTATGCAGTGATGGAAGTCGAAAGAATTGGCATTTAAGGTAAATAAATTGTCAGCTAGCTAGCTATCATAAACGTGTGCCATGTAAATCATGTACAACCATGACCATGCTTGAAATCTAACCCACCAAACTGGCAAATAAATATCTCAAATAGTGATAACTACAAATCTTATAGTTTCAAAGCAAACAGATAGAAAAAAGTTTAATCCATATAGATTTGTATAACTATACTGACTTACTTTACTAAAATTAGATGACAGTTCCTTTACTTTAACTGAACTAATAAATAATTAAATTCCTTTTATCCAAAACCTCAGAGACCTGTTCTTGTTCGGCTGGGATTAGAGCCCGCAATACCACGGCACGTCTAATTTAATAGTTTAGCTTCTAACTTGTATACTACTTCGTGTAAGGAAACATGCATAATAATTGATTATGGCGGGCCCATTGAACTATAAATAAACTGGAAGGCTAACTGCTATGATGAAGGCCTATGATTTGATGAAGCCAAAATAGTTTTTCTGAGTTATGAGCAGAAATACTTGACCCCAAACGTCGGGCTATATATCGAATTGAAGCTATTGAAAATTGCTATTCGGTGTGGAAATTTCAAGACTTCAGCGAAAAGAAAAATATTTAAAAAATACAAAAACAACTGCAAAACGGCAAATTATCGGTAATTATGTTTGTAGTTTTTCAATATTTTCCTTTTAGCTAAAGTCTTGAAATTTCTACACCAAATAGTGTTTTTCAATAGCTTCAATTTGATATATAGCCCAACGTTCAGTGTTGAGTATTTCTGCTCATAACTCAGAAAAACTAAAATGCACTGGCTTCAATTCCCCCCCCCCCTGAGTTAGCCTTCCAGTTTATTTATAGTTCAATGGGCGGGCCGTGACGACATTTTATAATAACCTGTACCGTAGATCTTTCTGCGGTGCGTTCATTGCTCTGTATCTTTTGCGATGATACCTAATTATGAGATGTCGATCATCGTAGCTTCGTCGAAATGTAAGTAATTTTATTTTACAAACTACAAAGTCGTATTTTGAACATACTATAGATGACTTTCTTTATTTATAGTCTATATATATAAACGACGGTACCGTTTCGGCCTTTAGGATAATTAGTGTACTTCATTAGGCTAGTGAGAGGTATTCTGTACTATCATGAATGTATCTTTGATAATAAGATCTAAGTTTGATTTCATATACAACATCTAGTGGCGTGTAATTGACAATAATGACTAATTTGACTGAGTTTCACAAAGAAACACATTGGAGAAGATAGCCAGAAGGCTGCCTTAACAACATAATTTAGGTAATTCTAATTGGAATAATGTGTTGTAATTCATATACATATAAACACCAAATAACCAAGCCTCATTAATACTGGTGAGAGATGGTGCCCTAACAGCACATGCCCTTGGTGTTTGTGTACATGTATTTATGAAAAAAAAAACATGCAGGAAACTAACAAATAAATAAGGAATAGACTAGTATGGATGACAAACTCAAAGTGCAAAATTGGGCATGCTTGTGTGAGATTATGCAACATTAGGCGAAATTAGGCGACATTAAGCGAATAGACTGTTAGGCAAAGTTTAAAAATTGGGTGCACATGGGCGAAAGTGGGCGAAATTAGGCGACATTAGGCGACCTTGACCCCCAAAGTAGGCCTTTTATGAAAATAGAAGCGTATTGCTATTGTAACTGAACCATGTCTATTCGTAGTTAAGATAGTGACGTTGTTGCGAGAAACGCGTTTGAAGTCCTGAGTGATGCGGGCGGCAATGAAACCAGCATTTATAATTATTATGACGACGGTGGAAGCTAAGTCAATGATCCCAGTTCTATAGCTACTACGCAACAAGAATCCCATCGATTGATCGCAGATAATGAGTCCTCATATAACAGAACATTACCTGCAAACAAATCAACTAAGCATAAACAAAAGCGGCATGCTAATGGTTTAAGTAATCAGCAAAATGCAAAAGATGGCAAAAAGAAGTTAGTCTTTATTGCTGGGTACTCTATTGTTCCAAATGTGCACAGCTGGGAGATGTCAAATACCGACAGAACTGTTGCCGTGAAATCTTTTTCAGGAAGCACAGTCAATGATATGATTCGAAACCATCGCTTCGTCGCAACCCACATCAAATAATTCTCCACGTTGGTACAAACGACATTAAGTCAGAGAAATCTCCCGACCAGTTGGTAGAAGTTATTGTGAAATTAATTAGTCAAGTGCGTGAAAAATCTGCACATATCAAAGTAGCTATCTCGGCTCTTATCATTAGAAAAGATGGTCATTTAATTCAAACAAAAGTTAAATTAATCAAACAAACAATCTACTTAATTCATTCTGCTCGGATAACTTCTGACGCGACATCCGTCAGACTAACTCGGAGAAAACTTTTGTGTTTGAATAGGTTACCATATCTTCGGGGTTTTGTAGTGACTAACAATGACCACTATTATTATTATTATACAATTTATTTAAACACGGTAAAATCTACAGTAGTTACAAGAAAGACAATAAACTTATACTAATACTGGTTTACAAGATTGCCGTGTGGGGGCTCGTTTATTCGTCGAAATACTTATTAACAGCTTTTTTAAATTTAGCCTGTGTTTGAAGCTTTCTTATTTCTTGAGGAAGGCTATTCCACAATAGTGCACCACTATAACAAAAGCTTCGTTTCAAGTAATTTGTTCGTGGCTTAGGCAAATTCAGCCTCATTTCAGAATTTCTTAGGAGTGAGATATGGGAAATGACATGAGGAATCGATGCGTGGTTCCTGAAGCAGTATAGTGAAGACTTTAATGACTTAGATTCTTGTACTTCACTTGGTGGAATTAATATTAGGATGTTAGGGTTTGTAATTCAAGTGAGAATATATACATTTTAAGACCTAACCAGGAACAACTGCGAAAAATGCAGCACAAGGTCCTCTGGTAGGAATTGAATCTACGGCCTTGCGATTCCGGTGCAGCGCTCTAACCAACTGAGCTACAGAGACCAGCTGTTGAGCTGTAACCGTAAGTTCATGTCATACCGACAGCACGACGCCAAGAACAAGCAAAAGGCAAAGTGCTACCAGGACATTAATTAAGAAGAAAGTGCAGCCCAGATCAATTAAAGTCGGCGATCAGGTCCTTATCAACCTCGTTCCCAGGGCTTTCGTATGAGGACGAAGGGAGAGAGGAGAAAGCCCTGGTCTGGGCCGGTCACGTGACTACCCAAAAATTGGCAGTATTTGACGGCTACTCGTCAAGGAGTGGCGAGATATTCTTTTATGAAATATACAAGTCTTCCAAAACAAATAAACAGTCAAAAGACTTCTCAATCGAAATTATTTATGTGTAGCGAAGTTTGGCTCGAATCAGCTGAAATCTCTGAAGCTAGACCCCGTCTATGTTTTCTAAGATATACCGATATTTCTGGAGATTTTCAACCACAGGCAAAGCTGCATCCAAGCTGCATCTAGGCGTATCCATGCAAGTGGTGATTCACACGAAATTTGCTTTCTCTCGTCTTCA